ACCTGATCTAGTGGAAGATGTCTCTGCCCATTTCAGGGGTTTTGGAACTAGATGATTTTTAAGGACCCAAACCATTCTATGTTCTCCACTTGGGGTGGAAAACAAATTGCATGTTTAAAGCTTTAAATTATTTTTCTTGTTAGGTAGGTTCTCAGATGAGGCATATATGTTTTAGATGAAGGTAACACTTTGAGCGGAATCAGGCTCTGAAAATACAGCTACATTCTTTAACTGAGGAAAATCATCAGATCATCCTTTGACAGTGGTGTAAGATTTCTTCAGTGGCTAGAGTTGCAAAGCATCTCCCACAAAACTGTTTGTCATTACCTAGGACTTGCATATGTTCTTGATACATAGATCTTAGAGTGCTCTGTAGATGATAAGTGTTCCTGCATTCGAATAAAGTTGGGGAAATGAAGGAGAGGAAAAGGAAGAGACTTACCCAAAATTCTGGAGTAGGTGAATAATTGCTTTACACTGGCAGGTGCTGGTGCTTTTGGATCTCACTAAGGAAGGCGCACGATTCTTAACATAAATAGCTGGTTACCACTAAAGGTTATAATGAGAAGAGATCTGTGTCCCTTCTGTGCTGTTGTGGGAACCGACAACAATACACTATCAGGCAGTCCTCTCTGTTAGGGCCATGGCTTGCTGTGCAGAATTCCTGTCCATGGTGAGGTTCAGCACCCTTGCTGTTCTTCATATCTTTATAGTATTTTTCTGAAAAAAAAAAAAATCCCAAACATAACAAACCCCAAAACAAAACCCAAACAAAAAAACCCCAAAGCTATTAGTCTTCTATCCATGTAAAAGTGATTGTTCTAGGTGGTACACTGAGAGCACCATGCTCTTATGCATCTCTCTAGGGACAAGCTCTTACAAACAGTACACACGGGTTGTATTGTTAAAGGCAGTGCATGCTAATGGCGTGGTATGTGTTCTGAATATGCAGCTGTCACCAGTGGTAACGTGTGGGCCTCTGCAACCAAGGCCTACAGGTTACCTGCCTAGGTTTGCTAGAAGTTGCTGTCTCCTCATTATGATGTCTTCCACAGTGGCCCGCTACGTTAGCTGAAAATAGGTCCAAAATTAGTTTTCCAAAATTTGTTTTCCCAGTACAAGGGAGTGATGGAAGAGTTCAGCGAAGCGCCACCAAGATGATGAAGGGACTGGACCATTTCTTGCACGAGGACAGGCTGAGAGAGCTGGGTCTGTTTAGCCTGGAGAAGTAAAGGCTCAGGGGGATCTCATCAGTGTTTACAAACAGCTGAAGGGGAGGGTGTAAAGAGGACAGAGCCGGGCTTTTTTCAGTGGTGCCCAGGACCAGAGGTGATGGGCACAAACTGAAACACAGGAGGTTCCTCCTGAACATCAGGAAATGCTCTTTTACTCTGAGAGAGACTGAGCACTGGCACAGGTTGCCCAGAGAGGTTGTGGAGTCTTCCTGCTTGGAGATATTCAAAAGTTGTCTGGACACAGTCATGGTCAAACAGCTGTAGGTGGCCCTGCAGGGAAATCTCTGCTTGGGTGCTTGGATCACCTCCTCCCCTTCCTTCTTCTCACCTTGGTGTCTGCAGGGCTGTTTCTCACACTTGCCCCACCACCCCCCTTGCTACTGTGCAGCGTTTTGCCCTTTCCTAAATATGTTTTTCCAGAGGTGCCACCAGCTTGGCTGATGGGCTCAGCTGTGTCCTGCAGCAGACCTGCTGGAGCCAGCTGTGTCCAGCATGGGGCAGCCCCTGCCTTTTTCTCACAGTGGCCACCCCTGCTGCCAGCACCTTGCATGGGCACCCGACAGATTGTAACACTACTGATAACATTTTGGGATGGAGCTAAGCTTAAATATGTAAATAATAGCCTTAATTCCAAGGGACTAAATGGAATGTTGTGATATAGTTGCACAAACAGTGTGCAGGAAAGCATGTAGAAGTAAACTCTGCAAAATTTTTGGTAAAACTAAAATCCTGCAGAGCAGGCAGGAAGGGTATGTGATGGAAGCCTAATAATCTAGTAGAACAAGCAAAACCAGAACAAGTCCAGATCCCAGAAATAACTCATCAAAAGCAAATGAGAGCATTCTTTAGGGTGTGAGGGGTAGAAAAGCATAAAGCATCCACTATGACAGAGGGAAGATGGGGAAGAAAGAACACAACATCCTTTGGTTTCTGCTTCCCTCGGAGGCTAAGAACCATCAAGGATAGATAGTAGCCATCGGTGCTTGCTGAAATTACATCAGTTCTGTTTCTTTGTATGCTCCCACCTAATTTAGAGTAAGTTTGTGAAGGCTAATTAATGCCTTTGTGAAGGCATGATTCTGACTGATAGCGATGAGGAACTTGCCTTTAGCGATGGGTGTCGTTAATAAGTATGAATCCATTAAGGAGTAGTTTTCAAGTTGAAAGTGGCCTGATTTTTCAGTCTTTTAAACACTGCCATCCCAGCAATCTCCAGTTCCCAAGTTGATGCATAAATCTATACGTATTCAATCGCAACACAGCAAAAATACTGTCTCTGTTGCTTGGAACAGGGGTTGGGAGGGGATCTGTGACAGTTCTGGTGTGATGTTGGGGCTGTCTGCCAGACAGCTGTGCGTCATCCTCAAAGCAGCTTTCTTGTTAACGGGCTGCTCTTCTGCGCTGCAGGAGCGGAAGTGTTGCTGTGGTGCTTGATGGGCAATATGAAGGAGTTTTTTGTGTGTGACTTGTTCCCTGGGTCCAATGTCATGCATATTGCTTTTTTTTGGTGAGCAGAGGTATGAAGAAGTGTGTTGCTTTATCCATATGTTCTCAAATCTCAAAGCATTCTTCTTAGTGTTTTTTGGTGCCAAAATCTCCATTGCAGAGTAGGCTTTACAAATAGGAAGTGTAAATGAAGTTCAGCTTTCATATCTCATTTGACACAGTATACACGTTTTTATGGAGACACTTGTTCTTTGTTATGATCTTGTTTTGGGTTTTCGTTTGTTTGTTTTTTTAAATAGAGTAACTGTAGATCAGTCAGTTGCTATGCAACCATCTTGCTTAGGAGTGCCAAAAATGAACGCTTGTTGGATTGGCTTTTCTTTTTCTTGGGGAAAAAAAACTCCGCACAACTCAAAATTGAAAATTTTGAGTTTTCAGCATGAGTCAGCTGAAAATGCCTGCTCTTCCATGCAAGAAATCTGTCCAGATTAAAGAAGTCACAATGAAGACATGACTTTTAGTCACCATTTTTCTGCTGTTAAAAGCTGCATGCCTATAGAACAAAGAAAAAATATTACTGATTCTAATGTGCTTTTCCGTTTCATATTATATCTATCCTCCCCGTTTCTAGGTCTGCCAATTTTACAACAGAAAACATGATACCTGCAGCCAGCAAAAAAACTGCAATAAGCTTCATGTTTGTCGGCACTTTCTCCAAGGGGAATGTAGATTTCTTCCGTGCAAGAGGTCCCATAACCTCCTGGATGCTCATGCATTGAGAGTGTTGAAAACTGAAGGCATTGATGTGAAAATAGCTTCAAACATCCAGGCTATATGTCATCACAAGCATGTGGAGTTCAACAAGGAACTGAAGGAGGGGAAAAGTAAGTTGTAAGTCAAGACTGAGTCATGTGGGAGGGAGAGCTGTGTGGCTATTGCCTACAAAACTGCATGCGAAATTGCTATCGAGTGGCTGCTGATAACTGACTGGCTGGGATTTGTAACTGTTGTTGCTGATCTGTTATATCGGCAGTGGAGTGCCGGTGGAAAATTATATCTATGTACTGTTCTGAATGCATTGCTCCCTTCTTGGAAAGGAGACAGAGTTGTATCTGTGCATGTGATATCTTTTTCCTTGCCTTCTGTCCCTAGGGAGTGGATATAGCTTTGTCAGGAGAGCAGTTGTCTTGATATACTTTCTCGTGAGTGAGTAGGAACTCGTAAATCTCCTGTCCTCGTGGGCAAAAAGGGCCTTGGCTTTAAAGCGTGTCAGAGTCCAATACTCTCTGAACCGGTTCTTTTAAATATTCCACATATGGAAGGTGTAAGGTGTAATGTTTAATATCAAATTTACTTATTTGAAGATAGTTGATGTTACATGGGTGTTGTGGATTAACTTTGGTGGGCAGCTAGGCACCACAGAGCCACTCTCACTTCCCCCTGACTCCCAGTGGGACAGGGGAAGAGAAATGAAAGAATAAAAGCAAGAAAACTTCGAGGTTAAGATGGAAAAAAAAAAGCAAGCAAAGAGTAAGTAGAAGAAGAAAGAAGAAAACAAAGCAAAGCAAGTGATGCAAAGGCTATCACTTACCACCTCCCGCAAACAGGCTGATGTCCAGCCAATTCCTGAGCAAAAGATGGCTAACCATCCCAAAACTCCCTCTTTTCTCTTTTATTGCTGAGCATAAAAGTTATATGATACAGAATATTTCTTTGGTTAGTTTGGATCCTCTGCCCAGTTGTGTCCCCTCCCAACCTATTGTGTACCCCCCAATCTGTTCACTAGGGGGGCAGAGTGAGAAGCAGAGGCGGCCTTGATGCTGTGCAAACACTGTTCAGCCAAAGCTAAAGCATCAGTGTGTTATCAGCATTGTTTTGTCAAACATCTAAACCACAGCACTGTATGAGCTGCTATGAGGAAAATTAACTCTTCCTAGCCAGGCCCAGTACAACGAGATTTCTGATGTAGCAGAGTGATGCGGAATACACTGAAAACACAATACAAACGTGAAGTTACAAACATAGCAAATTAACAAAACAGAGCAATTGCAATACACAGTTCAATCACCATACCAACGTGATTCGCGTTACAGGTCTGCATAATACGCTCACCATCATGACGCTGGTGTCCCCACTCCACAGGAAGGAGTATGTGGGTTAAAGCCAGCTCAAGCCCATTGCTCTCTTCAAAATTATTTTGTTAGTTGTTTAGTTTTTATACCCCTGTGTTGGGCTGAACCCTGCATTCACTTCCCTTATGCTGGACTGCCTAACTCGAGGCGAAACATTTATACCACCAGTCCATCTGCTCAGCTGACATAGCCATTTAGCTACAACAAAAGCCACCCTCTGGTCCCCTTTTTGTTGAGGCAAAATCAGCTTCTTTGCAATAGCCGTGCGCAATCGCACCCTGTGTAACTCTTTGAGTAACAGTTTTATAACTAACCCTGGGTAAGGGTAACCCCCCACCCACTAGGGAAAGGCTGGAGTGATTTAGTGCCAGGCTTGGCTGATCTGCAAAAGAAGCTGCTAATCTGAGACTTTCTGCTAGTACAACCAGGGAGGTGGCTGAAAACTATGTCAAAATTGGTTTTGGTGGTTGCTGACTCTGCTAACCTTTTCAAGAAGTGTATGCTTTGCATGGCAGTGTGCTTACGTTTGCGGAAAGTTGAGATTGCTGAAAAGAAGTCCTTTCTTCTTTTAAAAAAGATAGTCTGTTTTGTTCTGAAGCATCAGCATTACCCAGACGTGTGCTGTTCTCCCTCCCACAAACCACCACACTACAACACGTGCAAGAAGAGTGGCAATTGGGTTGCTTCAGGCTTGAAGCTTAGTTGTGTCACAGACTACAGGAAGAAGGTGTGTCTGGGCTTTCTGGAAAGCTATTCGAGAAAATCCAGGCAACGTTAAGCAAGACCTCCAGGCAAGCCTAAGCCATGAGCAGTGCCAAAGGAGTGAAAGTAGCTTTGGAGTAAGAAGAAGGTGGCAGCAACAGATTCTTATGTCATGGGCTAGAGTGAGACCACGCTAAATGGATATATCTGAACAGAAAGGCACTGTCACTTGACCTCATTGTTCATAATTTTCCTTCTCCTCCAAGTAAGGAAGAGCATAAACGAACCCCTCACAACAACAGCACAGACTCCTGGCACAGGCGTAGACGAAGTCACTAGCCACACATCTTGATGTCATCCCTCTTCTAGGCATTTAGTTGGTCACAGGAAAAAATTTGGCTGGCTGAGTCCAAGGCCAGCTCCTTTGCTGACCAGAGGTGTGAAGAAAGCAGGACTTGAGGGCCTGCCCCTCCTTTTCCTTGGGAACTGCTTTTGAGCTGAAGCTTTACTGCCAGCCCCTTCTGGTGCTACACTGCAGCTGGGCAGCAGCTACAGCTGTGCTCAGTCTCAGACCTTCACTGGTCTGGCCCCAATCTGGACCCAGCAGCTCTGCTTTCCAGCTTGACCTCAGACCTGCCCCCTCACCTGTGCTGAGCTGTATCTGACCTTGATTGCTGTCTCCAGCCCTGATCCCGACCCAGGCTTGCCACTCTGCATTGGGGCTCCCTGTCAGTGGAGTCACTCATGGCTGGCTCGTCCTGCTCCCTTGCTGCCATGCTGGTGCCCTTCCCACTGCTCCCTGACACCTCCAGTGCAGCGCAGCAGCTGGAGAGCAAGAGAAGCCGTAGCCCTGTGACTAGCCATGGCTGCATGCTGCTTGCCAGCTGCCAGGCAGAGGCACGGCTGTGATGCAGCTGCAGCCCAGCGCACATGGGGGTGAGGGATGAGAGTCTTGGCTTAAACACCAGTTCCCAAGAGAAGCGGGGGCAGCCCCACAGAAAAGCCCACCAGCTTTGTCTGAGAGAGCTCTGTTCAAGGCCAGGCAGCTGCTTATCAGCGTTGGCCAAGAGTCCAGGCAGCCTGGCTTCCTGGAGTCGGGGCAGAATGCTGCCAGGGTCCTGATGGTGCCTTTTAACCCGGCAGTCACGGCTTTGGGAAGAGCACTGTGTAACGGAGGGCATGGTTAGATGACCTAGTCTAGGGAATGCTTATGGAACTTACTAATGGCTACGCAAACAGAAACTGGTTTTGTTTGAAAGAGGTTGAGCTAAAGCATCTGCAGTCGACAAGTTGCCGTTGTCAATTTGTACAGTTGGGTGCTGAACTGAGAGCAAACTAAGCATATAATGGTTTAAGGTAAGGAAGGTTATATGGTCCCTTTTAATGGAGCAATAAGAGCAGTCAGCCTTGTAGAGCTTGTACAATAGGTTCTGGAGGTGTTTTGACATCAAGTGTTCTTCAAAGGCGATAGCACAATAGGGTGCATTTTCCAAGGTATTTAAAGGTTTGCTCTTTCACAACGCTATGTGTCATAGTGATACAGCAACTGAAGTGCAATGCTGCTATGTCACTGTATTCCCACAGAAAAAGATTTACAAGTCTACTGTGAAGGAACTAGCCGCTGGATTTGTTTTAGAAATGCACATGCATAAAACATGCTTAAAGAGAGAATCTGCTTAGGAGAAAGTTCCAACATACATCCTATCACTTACATTTGCCAAGTCTGACAGAGTGGTTAGAAGATCTGCTAAGGGTTTGGGTTTTCATGAAGGCTTTCATGATGAGTAGAAACTGTGTTAAGCTTATGTCTCGTTATTTTACTCTGCAAGTATAAATACAATGGTCCTTACAAAAATGACTATTGTGCATGTGGATATTAGTTACTAAACCAAACAACTAACTAGCCTCTCTTTACCTTTGTCTCACAGTATAAAGGTCTCACCTTTTGTTGTGCTGAAACTATGAACTTTCATCAAAATATTCAGCACAGAAATTTTAGTTAAGCTGATGAATTCTTAATTCGGAGCCTGCTGCCTGCTATGAGTAGTGAACAAGAGGAGAGACGTGCCGACGAGAATTGTACAACAGATTGCAGGCAAAAGCGAATTCCCCTCAAGACAAGCAAGCAAACAAATATCTAAGATGTCAAACAAACTAACCCGAGAGAGGAAATTCCTCTCCCTCCTCTTTCCTGACCATCCCCCAAACCTGACAGTCAATGCAGGGTATTGTAATATTTCCAGGAACGAAAATGCTCTACTTAAAAAAATCATAGCATCACAGAATAATTTAGGCTGGAAGGGACGTCCAGAGATATCTAGTTCAACCTCCTGCTCAGAGCAGGTCTAGTTAGGTCAGGATGCCTAGGGTTGTGTCCAATTGAGCTTTGAACACCTCCAAGGATGGAGATCTCGTGACCTTTCTGGGACAGTTTGCTCGAGTGTCTGACCACACTCTGGTAAAAAAAAAAACCAAACTCAATATCTAAATGGAATTTCTCATATTCCAACTTCTGCCTTTTGCCATTCATCATTTCCCTGTGCACCTTAGAGGAAAGTCTGGCTCTGCGTACTCTGTATCATGCAATCGGGTAGTTGCTGAGAGCAATAAGGTCTCCACTCTGCCTTCTCTTCTGCAGGCTGGACAGACCTGGCTCTCTCAGCCTCCCCTCGTATATCACATTCCAGAGCCTCAGCCAGCTTGGTGATCTTACATTACTCTCGTGCCAGAACACTGATGGGCTTCTTTGCCACAAGAGCACATTGTTGGCTCATGGTCAGCTGGTTGTCCACCAGGACCCCCAGGTCTTTTTCTGCAGAGCTTCTTCCTAGACAGTCAGCCCCAGCCTGTATGATTGCATGGGGTTACTCCATTCCCAGTGCAGGACTCTGCATTTGTTTTTGTTGAACTTCAGGAGATTCCTGTCAGCCCACTTCTCCAGCTTGTCTAGGTCCCTCTGAATAGCAGCCATGTCCTTCAGCATACTGACTCCTACTTCCAATTTGGTGCCATCTGCGCTTTTGCTGACAGCGCATGCTGTCCTGGGTTGAAGCCAGCTCAAGCCCATTGCTCTCTTCGAAGTTCCTTTGTTAGTTGTTTACTTTTTATACTCTGTGTTGGGCTGAGCCCCTTATTTACTCCCCTCATGCCAATTTGTCTAACTCAGGGAGATGCTTGGGCTCTTTTAATGAGCTCAGAAGCATTTACACCACCAGCTGATCCAGTTAACTGACATAGCCAGTTATCTAAAACAAAAGCCGCTCTCTGGTCCCCTTTGCGTTGAGACCAAGTCAGCTCCTTTGCAACAGCTGTGGTCAGTCACACTCTGTGTTACTCTCTGAGCTTCGTGGGCACGCTGTCCTTGGCCATCTCCACTGAGACTTCTTCCATTTTAGGGGTTTATCGGTTAGTCACAAAGCCCTAACTCTTGTGGTGGGCTGTACGGGGAACAGTCAGGTCCTGAAAGTGCTTGACTTGGCTGCTGCAGTCAACGCCTTGTTATTTCTGGGATGAAATACCAAATGCAACACCTTTCTCTTAGAGTTGTATTTTGATAGGGCAAATAAGGACTGATGTGTTCTTTTCTGTAGATAAAAAAGACGATTCCTCTGCCAAAGCTTCGAAGGACGACAAAGAAGATAAGGGTGATGAGATATGCTTGTTCTATGTCTGGAAGTACTGCAAACATAGAGGTAAGCTTTTTATAAAGTAATGTTGAGCTTTGGAGAGCGGTGTCTGCGGAGGCACTTCCTGCTCAATGACTCAGACTCGAGTGGTGGCATATGCAGTGGCAGTGGTGATTGTGCCTTCTCACTCATTCGCTTTGTTTCCCAGTCACTAAGGAACAGAGTTACGAACATAATCAGAGGAAAGTCAAGTGGATATACTTAAACCCTTTTTCCTCTAGGTGATCCATCTATGGCCTGTTTCAGTCCTGTTGATGAGGGCAGGCTTTGGGTATGTTTCTGTGGCAAAAACCCTTCAAGTGTTGAATGTTAACATTTTCTGTAACTATTAGATCAGTTTAAGAGCTGGCCTTAATGCTGTCATCATTGACCACTGGTAACAATATGTATCCTTTACTCCTACTAGATCCTATGTATATCAGGTAATAGCCATGTTCTCCTCCATTAAGTCCTTTTTAAAGTGATCTGAAGTGTTAAAACATCTGAAGAAAACACAGCAGTTGTACCAGCTAAGCTAAAGATAAATCTAATCTGTCATCTATCTGGCAGTGACAAATAACAGAGGTCTGGGGGAACCATGTAAATATAAACAATTGTATTCTGGGGCTGTCCCTAAACATCACTTTTAACTCCCAAGTTAGGCTATTCCTTGGTTTAGAGGAAGTACCATGAGATTTTCTTTCAGTGAACTTGTCCTGTCCCTTTCTGAAGGACTACTCCTTTTCTGACCAACTGGTCTTGGAAAAAGACCCACTTAAATTAGATCAGACTGTATGTGCTTCCTCTTAGGATATTGACAATAAGTTGCCTGCTAACTGTTTGGTCTGACATGTTTCTGTGTATTTAGCATTTCTGTGGTGGGTTTGTGTTCTGGTAAAGATGCAGTTCTCCCATCAGAAGCTCCTTTTCTGAGAGGCAGATGAGTAAGTTACTTTAGGGCTTGATAATACCTCTTCTTCACCACTAATTTGAAGATAGACAGTACTTTAAAAAATAAATTATATCTTTCATGAGTATTTTATGGACCATAGAAATGAAATCTGGCCAAGAGAGACCAAGTGTGGGTTTGTCTGCAGCTTTTCAAGTTAATTTAAGCACAGTGCTTTCAAGACAGAGTGCAGTCCAGCCCTGTTAACAAAAAGAAGGAAGAAAGGAGTGAGTGACATTGTTGTTTCCGTATGTTCTGTGGTCAGATACATCAAAGGTCAGGAATGATGAAACTCCTTTTGGTCCTGTCTGTGCAGCAGCTGCTCCAGCCTTATATCACGTTTCTCAGACTCTCTGCTTCTTTAGGACCAGGCTTGAGGCTTAGGTTTATGAACTTTTGGACCTGCATAATGTAAATGGTGTACTCGTGCTTGCTGTGGAGGTCAGTTTCAAAGAAGCTATACTGTGACCACCAAATAGCTAAACTCAAGTAACGACTGGAGAGTTAATGTGCTTTGCCATGCTATGTTTGGCTCAAAAGTTGTAAATAAGAGGTTTGGTCCATACTCAGATGTGGAGCATACATCAACTTTCCCCAGCAGGAGTCCTGGAGGTCAGCCTCTGCCTGTATCCAGCAGCATGCACTCATGCAGGGACGTTAAGCAGGTTCGAACTCAAACATGCAGATATACATGCATGGAAAACATAGGTGATTTTAAAAAACCTCAAAAGCCTTCCTCTTCCTGTGTGAAGGGTATACAGCACTGCTGCAGGTCTTGCATGCAGGGCAGTTAGAAGTTGCTCCTTCCTGTTTTCTGAGAAGCAAAGCAACAATTCCAACAGTGCCTGGCAGTCCTGTTAGTAGGGCAGCGCGCTACCTGTTTGGGATGAGCATGGGGTCCCTCTTGGGGGCTGTTCTGTGGAGTACTGCAGTCCTCTATGCTGCCTCATTCGTTGGGCTGGGCCTAAAAAAAACATTCAGGGCTTGGTAACCACCCTATAAGCTCTAA